AAAATCTGTTAACTCTTGGTTATAAGAAGCTTTGAGGAAAGGTTACAAAGTCACGTGTCATTTACCATAGCCACCACAGCTTCAAAATCATGTTGTGACATTGGCCTCGTGTCATTTCTTGCACATTTAGCATAACCTATTTCCATAAAGCCTTTTTGTACCCCTATATGTATACAGTTAAGCCCTAAATCATTCATACCCCTGACAGATTTGTTTAAAGTTATCTTTTAATTTTGCCATGTTCTTTCTTCTAATTGGAGTCCTGCCTTAAATCCGACAGATAATCTGTGAGACAAGCTATTAGCTTCCAACTTCAAAGACCAGGAGCGCCAGATCAAAGAGAATCATTAAAATACATGTGGAAACATCCAATAAGCTGGTTAGACATTTATGAGGGTTTGATTGATGTTTTACCCTTTTTAAAAATAAATATACATTTTTTTCAATGCTCCTTTTACATTGCTTTACTATTTTTAGAAAGTGCCTGTCTTAATATCACTTCACAGGTAGGTGAATTTGAAACTATTGTACTACAGGACTACAGGAGGCGCTGTTGTAAGGTGTGATCATAGTCTATAAAATCATTGAAAAGTTAATTTATTTCAGTAAGTAGGTCGGCTAGGATGTATTTATACATGTATTGTTTTTGCCAGTCACAGATCTAATCTCTGCTACACCTTTACAAAAACTTAAGGCTCTAAATAAAAACAAGTTGTAATAAGTAACTCCACTTAATAAAATTCCTCATAAGTATTGATTTATTGCAGTGGAACTTTTTTGGGGGGTGTGAGGGGATTTATGTTAAAACCTATAAATATGTAGGAATCGAATATTTAGGAAGTATCATAACTTAAACTTAATATTCAGATTTTATTTTGTGGTTTTAAAGGCTCTGCGTTGAAGATGGTACGAAATAAAGGCATACTTTATTATTTTTTTTTTTTTTTACTGTCATCTGCTGCACCTCCTTTGCTCTCGGCTCCCATACTGAGCTGTCAGCTAATGCTCAACCACTCCCTCCAGTTTCAAACTCTTCTTATTAAAGTAAGAGTTAGAGAGCTAAATATAATTGAAATATTGGCTACCTTCGACAGAAAAGGAGCTAAGTCTATGAAAGCAATGTAGCAGTTTAGCTAGCTTTGATTTCCAAGGCATAAGGTGGCAGTTTATCATGATTCAGCCAAAGTCATGAAATAACGAACTGTTTATTATCAGTGTATTTCTTCCTATTGAGCAGTGAAAGTAAATAAAATGTGTAGCATTTCTTATGCTTTAAGTATTTACTTACTGGAGGGTTTTTTTGTTGGTGTTGCAGAGCCACAGCTAAAAGCTAGCTCCTCACTCCAGCGGCTCAAAACGGAGCCGGTGCCGTTCAGCAGCGCTGCTGTTGCTCCGCCACACTTTGGACTGAACAATTGTTCTAATAATAGTGGGGGGGACATAGGTATAATTCTTAGTTTTTTCTTAGATGAATGGCAGATTTACTTCGTTCTTTGTGTCTATTGCCTTTTTTATATTAATATCGTTTAAATACAAGGGTTTCTTTCATGATTTCTTTGGGGGGGTGAGGGGGAGACAATTCTAGACTTTTCCAAGATTGGGGGGAGGAGGGGGGGGCTCTCCCCCCCCGACCCCCCGGGCTTGTGCCCATCCTTTTTCATGTGTTATATGTTGCCC